ATCCGGTAGAGGATTCATGTGGGGTGACTGAGGAGCAGAAGTAATTATACCCTCAGGCCATACCGAGCGGCAAGCGATAGTTGCTTTGCTCACCCAATCCAAAATACTGGTATCCGTCGTACCGAAACCTTCCTTATCGAAATCAACGCCGTCAACATTCAAGCTCTTCATCAAATTGCAGAGATCAGTACCGTACGTCGTTGCATCCACGGCCTTCCAATTCAGACCCTCAGATTCACCCCCTGACGAGATCATCAGCTTGGTCCCGTTGGCATGGAGCTTGTCAACGAAGGCCTGGCGCTCAGACTCCGATAACGCGGCCCAGGCAGACACGGTGTCAGCAATGTTCTCGGGGAATCCGGGGTTCCCGACGAGGTGGAAAGCAAGCAGAATCGCACTCACCCCAAGCTCAGACAACTTGTACAGCTCGTCAGTAAGTGCGGAGCCAGTGTAGTTCCAGTCATCAACGTAGACGTAAACCGGAACACGTTCGGCAGCGAGTGCGGAAGCCGCCAATACAGAAGCAGTGATAAGAGATCTCATAACTTAAATCAATCAAAAAACCTAATGCTGAAGTAAAACTCGTTATATCGAAAAACGACGGCCAGGATCCGAGCGTGGCATACAACCCGGAGGCTGCGAATATATTTTACGTACACGCCAGCCAGCGCGCCGGTCAGGCAGCGTATGGTATGTGCAGCATCCCGTTTGGCAGAGCGTCTGGCGTCAACAGAGCTCCAGGAGGCTTCCGGTTGGCTAAAGATATGCCAACGCACTGATTCGTGAGTGCAACTAGGATATCAAAGACGAGAGGTTTTAGCCATGACCCAGAAAGATGTTGCGACGAGGCACCGCCGTCGACCCCACGTCGAGAGAGTAACTCGATGAAGAGAGCACGATGGTGAGTCATGGCCGCTTTCATGAAGTAGATCAACTCCCTTTCCTCTGCACCATGTTTCTCTGCGTCCCATTTCATTAAGACAACCAGCAACTCCGTCCACACAATCAATTCGAATCGGGTCACGGCTTCCTGAGGAAGGTCTAGGACTGTCTCATGTAGTCTTACCAAGGCACGAAGATCGCCGGCAATTACCGCAATCAACTGCTGCTTGACTAAATGAAACATGTAATGAAAGCGAAGCTGCGAGAAAATGCTTCCGAGGATAACCAATATATCCAACCTTATATTCCGTATATTTGCTCGGTTCCGACCAGCCAATATAGAGTCTATTCCATTTTCAAGGCTGGAATCCAAGGCACTTGCGCATTTTTTATACAACGTGCAACGCATTATATCAAGGCACGCAGAATACACTCGAGCCCCGTATGTGTGGCGGGCGAGTTTGGAGGCCTGAAGATGCTCTGGAACGTACTGACTCATATCTATCACCGGCATGCTACCATTTTGCATAATTGCTCGATTCAAAGCTGCGACAGCCACACGTGTGCGGCAAAATATGTTTCGGTTAACCAATACAACGGAGTCGCCAAATGACAAACCCATATTGAGGGGGGCGATTGGAGATGCTGGCATCGTCAAAGGCTGTATGGAACCGAACATGTTACAGTACTGTAATTCCAGACGGACAATGATCTGGTCCATTTTTTTAAGTCGCGACACCTCCACAAACTTTGCGCACCCGCGGTATTCATAAGGATCCAGGCACGGTTCCCAAACGTTGCACAACGACTCAACTATTTCACCGTCTCCTCCTAAGACACTCAACTGATATCTTGTATTCAGAAAACTAACTGGCAGATTTGGCATCGAAAGTGACCGAAGTTTGACGGGCGATTTAGCTACCGATAACCGAGAGCTAGACCTATCCTCTTGCCTGGTGGGAGCAGCCTCATCCACAGTCTCGTCTACGTCTGACTCATCAACAACGACTGAATCGGGGCCCACCATTTCGGATTCCTCATATATCAATACGGGGGGCGCCGCCTCCACATGGTCCGCGGCCGCCGTCCGTTCGGACCCCGCCCGTTCGGACCCCGCCCGTGCGGACCCCGCCCGTTCGGACCCCGCCCGTTCGGACCCCGCCCGTTCGGCCGCCGCCCGTTCGGACCCCGCCCGTTCGGACCCCGCCCGTTCGGACCCCGCCCGTTCGGACCCCGCCCGTTCCGTCTCCGCCCCGGCGGTCTTTGGCCCTCCTTTTTCGATATCCTTGCACGTTGAGGTGTTCATAGCCCATCCTTCTTCCGATCCAAAGGGCACCGACTCAGTGTGAATAGGCACGGAACAAGCGTTGAGACCAATCACTGAGCCATGGTCATCAGCCGCTAACTTTGTAACGCTGTTAACTTTCAACCATAAACCCAAATAGTCTCCTCCATTGTCAGGCCTTGCGCCATCTAATTCATATGACGTCGAGATCTGCCAGGACTCAAGACTCATGCTCGACCGGAACCAACAAGATGTGAAAGTAGTCTCCTTTCCAGCCAAACATTCCAATGGTAGAATCCAATGGTAGGTATCCACTCCCTGCATCCGGGGGCAAGGTGTAAAATTAATTCCCGAGAAATGCCGATAAACCGTCGAGGTGATGGGCCCGGGCCCGTGGGCCCACCGTGAAAAGGGTACGATTCCGTAGGGGCCTGCATCAGTAAGGGAGGTCGTCATCGATCTTCGCCGTCGGGCTTCGTCATCGGCCTTCGGTGAATATAAGTTTCTGCTTGCTGCTATAACGGTTTCTCCTTGCTTAAAAGTCCTTCCAGCATTTCCTCCGACCGAAATAGTAGTTCCCAAGCCCACGAAATGTACTAAAATGAATGAGAGATTCCACTTATGGCGCTGTCAAGGAAAGGGTTGCCTACCATCGCCCACTGGGATGTGGTGTCCGGATCTTGAAAGGTAAGTTGGAGTACACTAACGGGCCTGCACCCGATGTTACTTCCCGGCCGAACCCAAGCCAGGTATAGACTCAGCTCCTCCGCGTTGTAAGCTATACGCGCGATATCTTTCACACGAATTACAAATTCCACGACCGGTACGTTATTAGGTCGGTGCACGGAAGCGTAACGAAACTAAGACAGTAAATATCGGGGGGCATGGATGGGGGGGAGGTTGTGAATCGGGGGGAGGTTGTGAATCGGGGGGAGGCATGAATGGGGGG